GGTTTTCTTGTGGGAATAACAATGATAATAATGGATAGCAATCGACTGTGTTCTGTGTACATTCTTGTATTTCTGCGTTATTCTGTGTACACACTGATGTCATTAGAGGGATGTATTCATATAACTATTTGTCACAAAGCAACTTCAGAGGCCAAATGCGTTATAATAGGCTCCGCTTCAAGTAAACATTCACTTGAATTATAGCGATCACTTGAGATAACGCGGAAACCCCCAAATCAGAGAAAAATGCATGAATGATACTGGTAATGTGATGATGATGGCGATGAATATGCTTGAAGCGATTATGGTCGGTTCTTCAATAGATGTAAGCGTATGTTGACCACCGAGACGTTGGAGCCATGTTGGAATTACGTGGCGCTTTGACTCTGTCGTTGTATGTGCGTGGCGCGTTCCTGAAATATCGAAGCCGTATAGTAAAGGTCTTCAAATGGCACAAAAGTGATAAAGGTTGCAGTAAAGGGAATTCATAATCGGGCGTTATAGTTCGACATTTAAAGGCACGGGTCGGCATCGAATTGGTGTGTTATTTTGTTGAAAATCAGACGAAGTGCAATGAGGAACGTTAGTGAGGAGAAAAAGCAAAAAGCAGAAAACACTGAAATTTCCCTTGTGAGGCCGGCCGTGGTATGACGGAGAGACACAGCGCTGCGAGGAGAGGGAAAACGCGAGAGAGTACGTCGTACGCGAGAGGGCGCAGACGCCACGTATGCCGTGGTTGATAAGGATGGCAGCACGGCAGCACACAAGGCAAGGCCTTAGCGCCGTTGCCTCGCACTTTTGAGTCGCGACAGTGTCGCAACTACTTTGCTTGGGACCCCTCTTCCTTACTTGTGGAGGAACTGGCTCTTGGCAGCTAACCCCTACCCGTGACTTTAAGGGCTGAATTGGTGCTGGCAGGGTATTAGAACTATTGAAAAGAGAGCGCCACTCACATGAAGTGAAAGATGCCACCACGAACCCCGGCCTCACAAAAAAAGCCAAATCTCGTCGTCGCATCTCCCACCGTTGTATGATCTGCCCTTTCGGGACCGTGGCGGAGAAATGGTGATTTGGAGCGCCATTACAGGGATTTGCTTCACTTCTGGTTGTGTGCTGCGATTCCTTGTCCTCCCTCACTTACAGTTCTATTCTACAGGTGGCTAATATGCAGATTTATATACATAAAAGCTCTCATGAATTATTTCCTCTGCAGAATCTCGGTTCTGTCAGGCGACCTACGGAATACGCCCGACTGCCACACATCCATCCCATTTTTGGGTTTCATTGAAGGTTTCGACCCCGTTTTAGGCATAAAATAGGTTTACCCTCGTTTGACGTAAATTAATTTCCCGACAGGAGATCCGTCACCGGCGCCAAAAAGGCTCTTCTGATGTCAGCGGTACGCGCAGCTACAGCTATTTCGCGTGTCAAGTTATAAAGAAACGTCCAAGCAGGGTAGGGCGTGATTCGGAAAGGGATTGCAATCCCTGGGATACCGCGCCTCTCCTTCCGATTCGAACACGCACACTATCAGGCCACGCGCCTAGCGTTTGCAAGGATGAGTTGTTGCTCGCACTCGTCACTCGCGCGGTACGTTTGACGGCCGAAGAGTGAGAGGTGGGATCGCGGCCCCTGAAGGCCGAGTCTTGCACCGGGCTCTCCGACAACGCCACTCGCAGAGGGGTTACTGTGTGTGTGTGATAGTAGACTGTACATGCAGCGTTCTCCCCCCCCGCCACCCCCCGCCCCCCCTTCGCACGCACTGTGACTCGTCTCCTGTCGCTCTGCGCTATGTCGCTCGCGCGACAGCGGGCGTCCCGGTCCGAGTAAGCCCCGCGCTCTCTCTCTATCCTGCGAGAAATTCGGCCAGCCAATTTTGAGGTCTCCGGGTGGCTTCGGGCACCTTTGTTCTAAAAGCAGAAGAAACGGCCAGCTCACTCTCTCCGCAAATATGCAACAGGTAGATAACAAGGAACGTACTGATTTTTAAACGCCAATTTCTGTCGTCTCCGAGGCTCAATTGACAATCGCCCGAGTAACCTCCAGGTCGAGAAATCAAAAAACCGTGGGAGCATCTGTGTACGGCGAGGAGACGAGCGTCTCGTGTTGGTACTAACCAGAAATCTCTCATAGCGGAAGGGAAGTGGGCCGCAAGGGTCATGTGGAGGACCGAAGCGGAAAATGCATACCTCGCCTTCCTTGTTGTAGAGGATGGTTTGCACGTTGGAACCAACACCGAAAGTGTCCTCGGCGTCGAATAGAAGAGATTCAGGAGGATTGTGCACACCACCATTGTCCTCGTGCCCAGATCTGAAAAAACTTTCAATACCCTGCTCTAAAATAAGGAGAATCTCACACCAACCCACCTTGACAGCTTTGCCGCCTTTGAGTACGAAATCCGCAGGGAATGTGTAGACGATTTCACGTTTTCCATCGATCTTCCTCTTGAGCTTCCACTCTCCAATAGGTTCCTCTTTGGAGCGATGGGTGTTCTCGAGTATCACGTACTTGCCATCAGGAGAAGGATCCTATAGAATCCCTTTGCTGTTATTCCTTCATAACAATAATCTAGGGAAGATTCCAATTTACCTGGATGGAGACATTTCCTTTGGCGGAACGCGTGTAGGATGTTCGACTGGACGTTTCACCTTTGACGACGCGCATGGTCTCTGAAAGTGTACAATTAAATCAGGAACAGGGAACCACCCAGCAATTCAGAAGTCTCCGCCTACCCGTGTCTGCAACCTCGTTGATTCCAGTTGTTCGAACAACTTGTTCGACGAGTTGACGAAGTCCTGGACCGTCTCCTTCACCTTCGAGCATCTTACGGTAGATGGCGATTTCAGCATCAAGGGTCTTAAAAGTCGTTTTGAAGGTTGAACCTCAATAGTCTTTCACAGTTTGAGCCTCTCCACTCAACGAACTACCTGTTTAGTGTCGAGCAGCATTTGGAGTTCGACCATGAGGGCTTGGCATTCTTCACGCATCTTACGAATCTGAGCATCACGATCGTTCAGAGCTGCCTCATATGATCTCTGGTCATCCTCCAACTGGTAGTTCAGTTCCTGGATCTGTTTCTCCAGCAGTGCATTCTGAAAATTGCACAATTATATGGATCTTATTCCATTCTTCCTGTTACCTGTTTCGGATGAAATAGTCGTTTTCAATAGGAATGAACTGAGGATTGTGACTCACTCTGCCTTCGAGGTCGGCCAGTTTTCCTCTGAGGTCGGTCAGCTGGGTGCGGAGACGTTTCACCTCGTCCTTCTGATAGCCTTGCTCCATATTCTGACGGGCGCTTTGAGTTTGAATCTCCTGCACTTTCAGTTTGTACCACGACTCCATGTCGTTACGGTTGGTGTTCATCATCTGAATGATAGAAGATTGATGGAAATCTAAGCTTTGAACAAGAAACTCGGCTTGCGTTCATGTTGCTCAACATACCTGATCATATTCGTTTCTGATGTCTCGAATAGCTGAAGCAAGCTCGTTCTTGAAGAATTCACGGTTTTCGCTTGTGGTGTCGCGAGCAGCCATGGCTTGTAGCTCTTTGATCTCCTGAACACTCAAAATAATAATTGAAGTATAAGCTTCCCCTTTATTGACAAGGCTATAAATATCGAACTACATAGAATTTTGAAAGCGGTCGGATCTCACAGTTGTTAGGAACTCGCGCAGCGCTTCCGAGGCTTGCAGAGCCTTAATGGCGTTGCAATTTCTGCCCGATAGAAGTTCAGGGACTCTAGCCGGACTGGAAGTGACAGTACTTTGCTCAAAAACTTCTTGCTCTGGCTCACAGGGTGACTAGCAAAGAGTTCTGATAAGTCTCGGAAAAGCTCTCCAAACTGATTATCGCATCAGTTCACCGGACCCTTTCCACATATTCGCTCTTTGCACCCATCCGATCATGGGAAGGGTAATGAGGCGGAGTATCCTGCCTACAAGGAGGAAGATGCAGCGGGTCACATATACCGCCGCATTCTCAGATCTCTTTCGGGTGAGCTTTATCCTTTTGAGACGTGTGACTTCTGATGTATTATTTCTGGCCCTGGGTAGATTGAGACCAAAATTCAGGGTGAGTTTTCGACACGTATAACTTCGTATAATGTGTGCTATACGAAGTTATTACGATATGACAACAGCGCTGTATCGCTAAAAAGGGTGCTCACAACATATAACATCCACCTTACGTGCTGTTCCCGCTGGAAACGTTTTCACTTTCATCCCCCCCCCACGCTTCCCAAATCTAATAACACACGGGTAATTTAGGCTGTCGCTTCATTTCGTTTGAGTGGGTTCAAGTTACTGACCATGAGCATTTGCTACTTACAGACGTGGAGGGAGACGCTGAGGCAAAACTCTGTCCATCTTGACTTTCTCCCGTCTATGGGTTAGTTTTAGTGTCACCTACCAGCGATTTTAAAATGGTTAGTTTTCAAGGTACCTCCCCCCACCTCCCCTGCCTAAAGACATGAGCGCCTTTTGGCAGACTTCACGGTCTTTCAACCGACGTCTTCGCGGCACCAGGAACCGTGTTAAAGCGGAAATTTTCCTCCTTCTAATATCATTGGTATGCGTGATTCGCTTTCAGCTTGCGTGAGCAAGGTCGGAGTTTCGTTTTTGACGAAAAGCTTTTGGCAGAAAAATATGGAGTGGGACAAAAAGCGGCGGAAAAATGGTTTGACAACAAGTGGAGGAGGGACGATTCAACAAGGCCGCCAGGGTGCCATGGCTCAAGGATGCAACATTAGTCCCGCCCAACACCACTGACCCCGCCCACAAATCAATGATTTTGCTCCACCGCTTCTAAGGAAGGGGACTTTATTTTCGCCCTTACCGACAATGCCTTCCGCTATCTTTACGTGCGTTACGACTCACATGTACATTGTAACATACAAGCGCAAAAATGCATCGGTTCGATCCCGGACTTTGCCTTTAAGTTCTCAATTTCCACTGGAGTTTTCTTCACTATCTTTAATGACTGGTAAAGTTTTCACTGTCTCAGGCGGGACATCTTGCCCTCTATATCACGACAAATGATCGCTTACCTGGTCGTGAACTCTGTTGATGAAATCAATCTCTTCAAGAAGTGTTGCGACCTGATTCTGATAATCGATGCGATTCAATGTCTCCTGGTCGAGGTCCTGGAAAATTGCAGAATGACTCATCAAACGCTATCAACTGGTTTTCATTCTACAGAAAGGACGGAAAAAAAGTGAACGGGAAAACGTACTGTGCGTGCACGTTGGAGTTCGGCCATCAAACGCATGTTTTCTTTCTTCAGACGAGAAATTTCCTCTTCAAGAAGTGCAATTCTTCTCTTCAGAAGATTAATTTCGGCTTCAATGTTTGAAAGCTTCACGAGAAGCTCATCGATCTTTTCACGATCTCCAAGACGGGCTTTGCTTGCCTCTTCAAATCTGCAACACAACAGCTCTGATGACTCTTCATTTACATGGAATCAGCTCAAAATATTCACTTTCTACGGAATTCATTGAGTTCGTCTTGAAGTTTGCGAATATCTTTCTCCAAGTCGTCCTTTTCCTTGCCGGTTTGAGCAATGACCTGGAAAACAGATTTTAGATGTTTATTTGCCGACGCCATCGAGTAAACCCACAAAGAGTTGACATACCTTCTTAGCTTGACTCATCTCTCCTTCATACATGCTGCGAATACTGTGGGTGTCTTTACCCCAGCGATTGCGCAACATATCCAGATCAGCTCCAAGTTTACGGTTCTGGGCTTCGAGGAAGCGAACCTGAAGGGGAAGAAGTAATTTGGTTTCAGGGTTTCATTTTAGGGTAGTTTTATAGAGATTAAAAATTGGATCATGGGGATATTTAGATGCTTTATCTCTGACCTTCTCGATGTAGCTGGCCAACTT